TGCAGATTTTGTTGCACCTGCTTTCGATTAAGTTCAATAAGTGCAGTGTAATTCAGTGTAACGAAAATGGCGGAATATTTGAAAGCGTGTTTTGCAATAAGTAATATTAAATATTAAGAAATAAAACCTTATAATTATTAATATTTGTTGTATTAGAGAACACAGTACATTCAATCCCAGTAGAGGCAGTAGAAAATGGACAAGATAGTAGATAGATAAATGGATAACAGACTATAAATAAGATATTAATTTGTTTCTTTTTTTAGGGTTATTATAAATTATTAGACAAAGGAAGAATTCCAAATCATCCCGTCATTGTTAAGTTCAAATTCTTCTCGAAATCTGCAGAAGATAAAATTAAAGCTGTTGGTGGAGTTTGTATATTAACAGCTTAAGTTGTAATAAAGTTATTAGAAGAAGAAAAAATTATTATAAAGTTATATTTTTTTTGACATTAACATAACCTCAAGATATTATACACTTTTTTTTGATAAAAATTAAATTAAAACACGGTTTACACACTTTTCTGACCTGCACTCAATTGACAAGACATTGCACTTAATTGCACTATGACGTCGTACTAGTGCCATGTCGTGCAGAGTAGTGCAGTCCCAACGAACAAAGCTATAATTTTGAAAATAATAATTGTTTAAAAAAAAATTTTACGACAGACAACTGACAATGTACATATTAGGGTTAACTGATAATGTTATAGGTTAACCTATGCAGTAACCATACAAAGTTTTTATATAAAAAATCTTGGTAATCATAAATATCTGGCGGATAACTGTCTTATCGGCATCGCTGAGTACCTAATAAGTTATCTTACCAACAATCTCACCGACAAAAATATCCCTAGATTGTAATACAGACTAACTAACTTATCGGCCAAGTTTATCGGTTTTAAAGTCGATTTCGCAATAATTAGTTTATGTATTAAAAAACGGTTTTTATCATTCCAAATAAACATAAATATTCCAAATTTCGTATTTTAAATTTAATTAATTTAAAGTAATTTCTAATTAAGTCTTTTCACGCTTAAAATTATGTAGTAATTTTTAATATTCTCTCCATATTTGGACTTTCATTTTATGCATAACCTAGAAAAAAGTTAATACGATATTTTTTGCGTGCTTTAAAGAACATCACTGCAAATTTCAGGCATTAATTAAATCACTCGTTACGGCGTGCGGGATCGATTAATATGCAACCGGGCGGAATTTCTTTTAATTTAATGCTCCGATTATGCCGTCACATGCGCTGCTGGTGCTCACCTGCTCAGTTACCGCGATCTCGTACCCGTTAAAAATGCTAACGACCGCAGATACCGCTTCCATTCCGACTCTATTCCGCAAAAGCAATATCTGCCCGCAGCTTGTTGGCCTCCCAATGCGCTCCTCGGTGCTACTGAAAAAGGATATTATAAATTTCATATGTTTCCTGCGCGACAGCGCGGAGCTACCCGTTAAATTGTGGGAACCTGATTTTGCAACCAGATAACGCTCCGATTTGTCCCTTCGAGGCTAATGGGACTCTGAACTCCACGACGAACGTGACGGTTATGGTTGTTTTAGTTCGAAAACGCATTTAGGGTTCAAATGGAATAGTAATTTAGTGTGAGAAAGCGAGATGTGATGAAGCAAAGGAAGTGAAAAGAACGCCCGCCGTCTGGTCTAAAACATGAAATATTGATTCTGTAAAAGTTTACATTTTCCCATCGACGTGTTCCTTGCACACAAATGAGTTGAGGCGGACGTTGTAAATCCCGGTGTCGTCTCTTGTTAGAAACGCACGTAGGGAGAGCTACAACCGAATCCTGTTGCCCATACAATGTCACCGACGCGGCGCGTCGCGATTTGAAGACATCCGTCGGTCTGACAGATCGCATTACTCCACGGTCGACTGGCGTCGCAGATGGAGCCGGTCTCTCGCTAAAACCACCAGAGCATTACGAAGTTTCCACCGCGACAAATTCCCAGCAGATATCTTCGTGTACAGATGCTCGGCAACATCGATCCGGATTGGCCGACTCTGGCGCTTTTTCAACCGACGAGACTCTCTCGTATCTCAAATGAATACGTTCCACCTTACAAAGGACGCCCTACTATACAAAGAATCTCATTTCTTTTTTTAGATTTGTTTCTCATTTTAATTTCGATGTTACATCACCTTATCAAATATGTATTCGCACACTCAAAAACTATTAAAATTAATTATACCATATTTGCATTGCTAATCTTTGAATATATAGATGTTGAAGATATAACCTGTAACGCTAAAGTATCATTATATGGCGTCGTGCGCGTTGAGTTCGTTTGAGTTGCGCATCAACCGACTGACTTTGAGAAAAGAAAGACCGAAGCCGCATTCCAACAGGTGTTTGTAGGTTAAGGAATTTGGCTCGACGACGACCTACTGCGGCCGAACCGGAGTGTTCAGCATAGGATAGAAAATGTAACCTCACACGAAGCTGTGCGTCGGCGTCGTCATCGTTGTCTCTCCTATAAGGATCTGCGTGATAATGTCGGAGGAGTGCCTCCGTTGCTTCTTCGTCCTTTTGCCCTTTGCTTCTCCGACTCCTTCACCTGCTGATTTATGGCTAAGATGGAAGATTAATAGTGGCGAAATTTACTTGGCGACGTCGGCGGTGTGTAAAATTGGATCGTGGGCGGCCTCGGCGATGTCTTAGCGAGATATTTGGTTCGAAGGATTATTTTGTTACAATCTTGAGGACATTGCATTTTTGAAGAAATTAAATAAAGTAAATAAAAGAGTTTTATTCGAAACGAAAACGTAAAGTAGTTTCTAAGAAGAGTGAGTTCGTAGGAGCGCTTAGAATATGTAAATGATGGCACGTAAACAGTCCTGATCTACCGGTGTCTACGAATTTACGATACTCCAATAAAGAATAAGGTAGGTTGGTTGGACGAAGACGCTTGGCCAAGATAGCCTCCGTAGTAAATCATGGCATCCGCGACCATCGAAGCCAGGAATTTATATGATCGTAATAAGGCGAACGAAAGCAAAAATTACCGCTGAAGACGGCCGGCCGAGTAATTTGCGCAGACCGCTCCACTCGCCCTCATTATACCAAATTGTATGCAATTATTACACGGGGCCCTCTCCCGGCGGCCCCGGCGGCTGACTGTCACTCCAAATTAGGTAAAATCAAGAATTCCGAGACGCTATAGATCCCGAGCGTCAAGTTCCTCGACTTATTTATACCGGGGGATCGGAAAAAGTGCCGAACGGCATTGAAAAACTACGGAATGCGCCGTACATCGAGCGCAGAAGTATATTTTACCATGAATTTTACAATACACTGAATGGTGTACTTGTGAGAATTTCAATGGGAATCGATACTATTCGACTACTTCTTCTCTTCATTCGTCTATTTCAGTGCAAATTTATATCAGGAATTTCATTTTACTTCCTTATTTCTAAATTAACTTTAACTTACATATAAAATACAACATTTTCAAATTAATGTATTCCTCCATCTATTTAACTAAGCAAATTATTGTTTAGTTATCACCTTCTTGATTATGTCTAACCACATTGTTATTCTTTTCCAGATTTCCATGTTATCTGTTGCTTCCTGTCTTTATTTGCTCATTAGATGTCTCACGGCTTTTTTTACCACATAAACCATAAAGGGGTCAACATTACGCAAGGTCTTGATGAATTAATGTCATAGGGATCCAAACTTAGGACACAGAGAGATAACTTTTCCTGATAAAGTCAAGATCTTTTGCAAACAAAACAATGCTAGTTATACAGTATGCATCGAAAATTGGTTAACATATACTGCAGATTTGTCTTGATTAAAATCTCGATGGAGTTCAGGTTTGGGTTTTGGACAGGTAACCCGATTATCACTGTACCAATCGATGTTGGACATCACAACATGACAGCTAGACTTATCGCCCTGAAAGTAACATGAGTCCATTTAGTAAAGTTTCCGGAACTGACGGAGAGAGTGACGGACATCTCAACCGCAGGTTTGGATGATTTGCTTGGATGTCTAAATACTTATTGGTGGATACTGTATAGAAAATACAGAGTACACTTGTTTTAGTTTGAGAGAACGAGATATACGATGTTAATCTATTGATTTGAGAGCATTTGGTTTGGTTTTGTATCAAACTTTGTCAAAAGCTATCTAGCATGACTGCAAGAGCTTTGATACTATTGGTAATAGTAAAATTGGAATATAAGATTTAACATCATTGAATTGTTTTCCTGGATCTGGTAACATTCCAGCATAGCTGGAGAGGTAGGTCATATTGAGGATATCTTCTGTAATGAAGTCAAATCTTGGAGATTTCTTAAGATTCAGGCGTTCTTGATTGCTTTTTTGGTTTATTTCTTCTACCTCTGTGCCTACAACTTAAATCCGGCTTAAAAGATACGAGGTGTCTCATATAATCCAAGTAAGTATCTTATGTCCTAGCACTTTCTCCTAAACATAAAAACTAAATCACTAATTTGTACTTGACATCTTTAGAAAATGAGGTTTATTTTGTAAATTTTTCAATTTAGAATTTCTGTAACTAACTTCGTTCCTATTAATCCGTTTCGTTAGTTGAATTATCTTCTAGATCCCGAACCGAAACACCGAATTATAAATCAATAGAATGTGGCAGTCCTAAGTCAGTGCTTAAATGGAAACTATTAAAATTCCTTTAAGGAATCTTTAATTGGGACGTAAATCAAAACGTTTTATTTTTTTTGTATCGAATGCGTCGCAGAAGAATGTTAAAAGAAGAAAAAAAATCCTTCGATTGATACATAATGGGTGTGTTGGAATATAATGGCAAGGTCATCAGGAAGGTAATAATAGTGGGCAAGAAGGAAGGCGTTTAGAAAGAATTTTCTAACGAGCTCGATAGCTATCTCCGTTTATTTGCATTTCATGTTGTAAAAACTGCAAACGGCGGTGTAACCTTTCTTGCGGTATGCAAAAGATTAGCATTTCTGTCTGGTCGATAATGAGCACATTCATCAAAAAATGCTTTATTATTATAGTGTACTTATGCCTAGATCATTTACATACATTAGTCTCTTTAAATATACAATATTTCCATGTTTTGATCAGTACTAAAGATGACTTTAAACATTTGGTGTCTAGACACTCTTTGTGATTATTCTTCCTTCTTTAGCTTTAGGGTTTTTTTATTAACCACCTGGATGGTAGGGTGCGTCCTTGTGCTGGTCGAAAGGTAATTGCTCTCAGATGCATCCGACGCAAGAGTTCCCGCCAAAAACGCCGGCAGCATCTGCGCAAGCGCATTTGAGTCTACGGCTCAGTCACGACTGTTGGCTTAAAAATAGTCGGTTTCTGTGCGCGTAAGTTTGCGCTAGCGCTGGTCGTTTGTGGTGTGGGTGTCCTTCTCTTTCGGGCATGGAGAAAAAGAGAAGGAAATGTCGACGGAGCGGTTACCTGATGTTGAAGAAGGAAAGAACCACACCGGTCGCTCCATCGAGCGTGTACTTCCCCACCATACCACCTGGCTCACACACACACGACCAACTCTTGCAGGTTGCTGTTCTACCTTACTTCGAAGTGAGTTTTGAAAGCCGCGTCGGTTGAGCCAACGGTTTTCTTCAACGCGAGACGACAAGTGCTCGAATTCTTCTTCTTTGAGTTCTTCGTCGCGGAGTGCCTCAGTGTACGGCGCGAAGTTGTTCCTCCAGGAGGTTTAGAATCTTTCCAGAATCGGTGATCGTTTCCCTATTACTTGCAACAACCGCCGGTCGTGTGTTTCTCGACCATTTGGTGCTGTGTAATAGTGTCTTTGAGAGTGTGTACGCGGCCAACACGACGGACTGTTCCGATTCTGCCGGCTTCTTACAGCGAATTAACCTGGATATTGCGTGGCGCCTCCTTAATCTTCGGCATCAAAGACTATTCCCAAAACCACAGGTCAGATACCTACATACATAGATAAATGTGAATATCTCATAAGTTAATAATGATTCAAAAAGTGAATCCATATAAAGTATAATTAGACATAATTAATTTCAACACTACCGTGTTGAAATTGAAAATATTTTCTCACCTTAAAGAACATTCCTCGAGTTCGACTGTTCCTTTACCAAATTCAAACAATCAAATTAACGCCTTGTGGCGTAAGAAGAAATAAATTAAGTCGATGTGGCAGTCGGGAGTTGAAAATTTATGGCTTATGTACAAAATAAAACTATTAACGGAGCGGATTGCCTTGTGCAGGAGCCGACAGTGCGAGGCGGTAGGATTTGAAAAGCGACAGTGACTGTAAAACTGTAACTAAGGTCCGATTTCTCACCTCCAGATAGACGTTCGGTAATCGGATATGTCCTAAACAGGTTCCACGCGAGAATATGACCTGTAACCATAAAACTGGGAACTATAAAATTCCTAAGGGACTTTTTATGCTCGATTTTAACAGTTTTATTTACGTGAAGAAGATGATCTTGAAACTTGGAAGGTTTCTGAAACCTCAAATATGGACTTTTAAGTTGATAAGATTAACTCTTTTTGCCGATGAAGCTATAACAAGTTTTAATGATAATCAGACATGGAAATACAACAAAAATTAGACTCAAAACAATAAAAAACTTTGTCAGAAGTATGCGGAAGAAGAAATCATTAATATTGAGATATTTAAGATATGGTGCAGCTGCTAAAGGTGACACTTGAATAAACTTAATAAGAATTGCTTTAAACAATAAATCAGGGAATAATATGAAAGGCTATAGAATAATCCCTGCAGAATTAAACGCGTAGCCGTCCAGAAAAACAATGCAGAATGCCATCGAATACATCCTTTTTGTTTTCTTCTTCCGGCCGGAATAACAACGAACCGGGAATGCGAATAATAGAAAGTGTACGCTCAAATCCTACTCTCTCTTCGAAATCGTTAGGAATTTTTTACTTTAGACCCACTTCTTCTCAAATCTTATTCATTCTTTTGAACTACATTTGCTCCTACATAACAGCTGGTATATCCTTTCGATGATTTACAACCATAACAACAACGTCCATTAAATCAGTTTATGTTTCGCTTCATAAACGCTCACTCTTAAAATACACGGTTGCGATTTAATATTGTTTATTTATAAGATTTATAAAATTGTTATTTGTGCGTATTACCTAAAGTACATATATTGCGGTAATGTAATACGTTTATTCCAATGAAACGTTATACCCCAACGTTTACTATCTGCAAACAAACCGAATTCACTCGAGTACACTTGGTTATATTGCTAAAATCAATACTAATTTCATCCTGTGGTGATTTCAATAGATCTAATTAATGAGGTCTTGTTGGTGTACTTTATTAAAAAAGATCTAATTAAACTTACATATATTAAATTCGATACAAAATAAATTGCTTCAATTACTCGAAAAGTTAATAAATTCTCAATAAACCGTTGGTTTTGCCAAAGTGTCGAAACTGTAACTTGTCGAAACTCGTTCTGAAACCGGCGATTTCGTAAATTCAAATTGATTCGGTGCTCATTATTAAGCGGCTTGGTTTGAGCCTTAAAGGCGGTTTGCCCTTTAAACTGGCGTTTCACTTTTTGATCGACAAATGTCAACGACACCGTTATTCTGTGAGAATTCCAATCATTTTTGTTAAACGTAATTGTCGTGTTTGCGATTTGTTATAAGGTCAGTTCCTTAAATGGAAGAAACTTGAAACTGCAAATACTTGCTTTTTGTATTGCAAACTATTCTTAGCTGCATATTTCTCGCGTAACGTGAGGAAATTGCGATTAATTAGAAGTAGCTGTTTATTGATTTATGATTGTTTGACAAACAAGAGTTTACAAAAACAAAATGTTGAGTGTTAATTGGAAAAGTTTTCTTACAAGAGTAAAGCAACTGTACTTTCGCGTTGTTCAGTGTAAATAGAACCAAGAATGTTAAGAGAGCGTGCTGGTTAAAGTCGAATTCCTCTCATGAGCCTGGCGATATACTCTGCAGGCCATTTTCCGCTATGCGTGAAAAACAGAAACGTCTAAACTAGCTTCAACTAACGGTATATATCGCGTTCTACGCAGCTAGACCACGCGGTGATAGAATTATATTAGAAATGGTTACCGCACTTAGGAATGAGTATACGTTCACTTTAATTGAATGTTTTCTTAATGTTTAAAAGTCTTCCTGTACCGTAATTAATGTCGAATTAATACGTTACAGACGCTAAGCGAGATCTCTTAATAGTCGCACTATTTCCTTATACCGTTGATGTAACTCACTCATTTATTACAAGAAAGAACGTTTTCTTGTGGAAAGGAAGAACAATATGCTATTAAAGCTATAAAGTAACATTACTACGTTAATTAATACCAAATTAGTCGTTATTAGTATTGGTCCTGGATTATTTAAGAAATATATATAATAAAATGAAATGAACCAGAAAAAAAAGTTATTAACAAAATATAAAATCTCTAAAAGTGTATAACTTTAAAAAATCGTATCTACTTTATTTAGGTCCATTACTACAATCTTTTAGTTAAATTTATCTTATAGATAAACCCATCTACTAGCCAATCAGAGCGCGTAAAATAGCCGTTACCATGGTAATAATCCCTTAGATAGCTTAACCAGAAGATGGTAGTAACGAGCCTTAGGCTCACTTTTACCACCTCTTGATAAATTTAACCGATAGATAATTACCATGGTTACAGCGGTTTTAAGCGTTCTCATTGGCTAAGAACGCCAATTTATCTATCGGATAAATTTATCAAAAGGTGGTGAAAGTGAACCTTATAGGAGTAATCCAATGATTTTCGTATTAAATTAAAGATTAAAGTATCTGCTTTAAAACCATTTATGATTTAGAGTTGGTTCATACAATTAAAGTGAAAAAATGTCTTTAATCAAATCCTAAAAATAGGTTCTTATAAATGAGATCATTAAAAATGCAAAACTTTAAAGCATCATATCTACTTTATTTATAGGAGTAATCCAATGATTTTCGTATTAAATTATAGATTAAAGTATCTGCTTTAAAACCATTTATGATATAGAGTTGGTTCATTCAATTAAAGTAAAAAAAATGTTTTTGATCAAGTCCTAAAAGTAGGTTGTTATAAATGAGATCATTAAAAATGCAAAACTTTAAAGCATCATATCTACTTTATTTATAGGAGCTAATAAACACTCTATACGTCAAATTAAAACTTAAAGTATCTACTTTAACACTATGTAATGTATTATATTAGTTAATTCATGAAATAATTTTTTTAACTAACGCTGAAAATTGGTAATAAATACTAAACTTTAATATATTATATCTACTTTATTTATAGGAATTAACAAACACCCTATATATCAAATTAAAGCTTAAAGTAGCTCCTTTATGGTACTGTAAGGATTTATGAGTTAATCGATAAAATTTGGCAGGAAAAATTTTTTTGAACAATCTTAAAAACAGGTTATTTTAGCACAACATACAATATTCTAGCGTTGAATAACAAATAAAACTAGACTAATATCAGCACTAAAACTAACACTAGATCTAGAACTAGAAACCTTCCGTTTAGCTGTACCTTTCTTAGGCCCACTTTTCCCATCCTTCTGACAAACTATCTAGAGGATAGTTACCATGGTTACGGCAGTTTTAAGCGCTCTCATTGGCTAAGAGCTGGATTTATCTATCGGATAAATTTTCAAGAGGTGGTATAAATGGGCCTTAATACGGTACGCGGTAGTATAGTATAAAATATCACTATATTGCATATTTTTATTGAACTAAAACTAGAACTAACACTAGACTTAGAACTAGNAAACACTCTATACGTCAAATTAAAACTTAAAGTATCTACTTTAACACTATGTAATGTATTATATTAGTTAATTCATGAAATAATTTTTTTAACTAATGCCGAAAATTGGTAATAAATACTAAACTTTAATATATTATATCTACTTTATTTATAGGAGTTAACAAACACCCTATATATCAAATTAAAGCTTAAAGTAGCTTCTTTATGGTACTATAAGGATTTATGAGTTAATCGATAAAATTTGGTAGGAAAGAATTTTTTGAACAAATCTTAAAAACTGGTGATTTTAGCACAACATTAATAATTCAGTGTTGAATAACAAATAAAACTAAACTAATATTAGCACTAAAACTAACACTAGATCTAGAACTAGAAACATTCCGTTTAGCTGTACCTTTCCTAGGCCCACTTTTACCATCCTTCTGACAAACTATCTAGAGGATAGTTACCATGGTTACGGCGATTTTAAGCGCTCTCATTGGCTAAGAGCTGGATTTATCTATCGGATAAATTTATCAAGAGGTGGTAAAAGTGGGCCTTAATACGGTACGCGGTAGTATAGTATAAAATATCACTATATTGCATATTTTTATTGAACTAAAACTAGAACTAACACTAGACCTAGAACTAGAAAATGTCGGGTACTAGACACTTGTGTTAGTTCTAGTTTTACAGTAGCACTATCACTAGAACTGACACAAGACCTGGAACTAGAATCATTCGGGTTTAGCCGTCTTGAGAGACGTGCGGCTAAACCCGAATGTTCTAGTTCTCGATCTAGTGTTAGCTCTAGTTTTACACTAACACTATCACTAGAACTAACACAAGACCTAGAACTAGAATCATTCCGCATATCTCTTAAGACGGCTAAACCCGAATGTTTCTAGTTCTAGGTCTAGTGTTAGTTCTAGTTTTACACTAGCACTATCACTAGAACTAACACAAGACCTAGAACTAGAATTATTCGGGTTTAGCCGCATGTCTCTTTAGACGGCTGTCCCCGAATGTTTCTAGTTGTAGGTCTAGTGTTAGTTCTAGTTTTACACTAGCACTATCACTAGAACTAACACAAGACCTAGAACTAGAATCATTCGGGTTTAGCCATTTTGAGAGACGTGCGGCTAAATCCAAATGTTTCTAGTTTTCGGTCTAGTGTTAGCTCTAGTTTTACACTAACACTATCACTAGAACTAACACAAGACCTAGAACTAGAATCATTCGGGTTTAGCCGTCTTAAGAGACATGCGGCTAAACCCGAATGTTTCTAGCTCTAGGTCTAGTGTTAGTTGTAGTTTTACACTAACACTATCACTAGAACTAACACAAGACCTAGAACTAGAATCATTCGGGTTTAGCCGTCTTGAAAGACATGCGGCTAAACCCGAATGTTTTGTCTAGTGTTAGTTCTAGTTTTACACTAGCACTATTACTAGAACTAACACAAGACCTAGAACTAGAATCATTCGGGTTTAGCCGCATGTCTATTTAGACGGCTGTCCCCGAATGTTTCTAGTTGTAGGTCTAGTGTTAGTTCTAGTTTTATACTAGCACTATTACTAGAACTAACACAAGACCTAGAACTAGAATCATTCGGGTTTAGCCGTCTTGAAAGACATGCAGCTAAACCCGAAACTTTCTAGTTCTATGTCTAGTGTTAGTTCTAGTTTTACACTAGCACTATTACTAGAACTAACACACTACTAGTACTAGAATCATTGAGGTTTAGCCATACTGAGAAACGTGCGGCCAAACCTAAATATTTCTAGGTGGCCGGCAACATTTCGAATTTTCCTAGTGTAGTTTTTGCTTAAAACTGACCAATAGCAACCCTTATTTTTGGCGCTTCAATTTGAAAACAACACTCCTATGAATTAAAAAAATAGGGTAGATAAATGGTAGATGTAACTAGAAAACCGTATGAGATTACAAAGAACAATATCCAATTAATGATTGTTAGTAACATCTAAATCGTTTTATATCAAGTCATTAATTCCATTAATACTTGTAATAAAGAGAAATAAAATAATTGAACAGTTAGAGAAGTTTAATTAGTTTAAAATGATGTCAAACATAAATAGTCCGTTCGTGTTCATGCACGCAAAAATCGAAAGAAATGACTAGAAAGTTTATGAATTGAATGTAACAGTGTCAATAGATCATACCTTCGTGTTTGCTCCACTTTTTTAAAACAAAGCATTCTTACTTATTACACGAACGTGCAATTTTCAAATCATAATAACGTATCTTGAAACAAGTTCAAGTTGGTCTTGTTTATAACCTAAAGGGATGTCACTAGCAATCATCACATTGCATGAATCACAGTCATCATCTTATTGTCTCCTTATTTGCCGTTATGCCGAGGAGGTGATCGTGTCTTTATATACGCAGGTAACCCTGTTGTCGTTCTGGTTTGCAATTTCGTCGTCGCGTCCAAATGGGAAATAAAGCGCAATGTAATGGGGATATAATATAACGTCATGTGCAGGACGAGT